GGAAGCCACTGACTGGGAAAAAGTATTCGGTAATAACATATCAGATAAGGGACTTATATCCAGAATTTATGAAATACTTGAGCACCACAACAAGATAAAGGTAAATAATCCAATAGAAAAATGGGCACAGGATATGAACAGGCACTTCACCGAAGACGACATTCAGATGGCTAACAAGCACATGAAGAAATGCTCAAAATCCCTAGCCCTCAGAGAGATGCAAATTAAAACAACTATGAGATATCATTTCACCCCAGTCAAAATAGCAAAATTTAACAGAACAGCAAGCAACAAATGCTGGCGAGGTTGTGGAGAAACTGGAACCCTGATTCACTGTTGGTGGGAGTGTAAAATGGTGCAACCCCTGTGGAAAGCAGTATGGCGCTTTCTCAAAAAGTTGCAAATAGAGATACCATTTGACCCAGCAATTCCACTACTGGGAATATACCCTGAAGAGACCATAGCTGACATCCAAGCAGATATATGCACACCCATGTTTATTGCAGCTTTGTTCACAATAGCAAGGAGTTGGAAACAACCTAAGTGCCCATCAACAAACGAATGGCTAGAGAAGCTGTGGTATATTCGCACAATGGAATACTATGCTGCATTAAAAAACAAGGAACTCATGCAATATTATTCAAAATGGTTGACTCTGGAGAACATTATGCTGAGTGAAATATCCCAGTCACAAAAGGACAAATATTACATGATGCCACTGTTGTAGAATGGAACTGTCCTTGGGGTTGGGGAGAGACTGAGTAAGATGGGTTCAATAATGTATACTGCACTGAAACACAGGAGGGAGAGAACCGTCTAAAAGAGAGATGTAACTGGGTATTTCTGTCATCCCAGGAGACTAGAGCAAGGGCTACATGGTGGAGGGGACCTGGGGGAGGGTTTGTAAAACAATGAAAGAATCTTTTCTTTTACTTTTCCATAATTTTTGGACTCATGTACTTGTAACTTGTTAGTCAAATTTGTGTCTTCTAGGTTGCAACACCCCCATGATACATCTTGAAGGATATGTACATGTACAGCCAAGCACAATCAATAAGAGTGCATCTGAATTCCAAAATCAATCTCCATAATAGTCTATGTGTTTCCTACTGCCAAAGGGGCCCTCACCCTGAAACCCACAGCGTCCCTTTTCAGCAGGAAGTAGCTAAGAGAATACGCCGTCCCCTTTTCCTTATGACTCAGGGTGAAGTCTCTCTCAGGGAGGAGTGATAGGGAATGGCAAAGGATACACTGACAAAGATTAATCAGAACTGGCTTTGACAAGCACTGTGGCATTTGGACAAGAACAAACTGGGAGGAGGGTAGAGAGAATAGTGCAACAATGAATGAGTGGAAGCCCAAAATCTCTGTAAATGTTTATGAAAATTAATAAAATATAATTTTAGAAAAAAAAAATCCACTGTCTTCAAGGTGATTCTGACTCACAATGACTCTCCAGCATGTTTCCAAGCCTGCAAATCTACGGGTGGAGACTGCCCACCTTCTTCCTCAGAGCGGCTCTTGGATTTGAACTGCCAACCTTTTTTGGGGGGAGCAATCCAATGTGTTACGCACTATGCCACTAGGCCTCCTTCCCTTTTCTCTCTCTAGGGAGCTGCATTTTTCTAAGATTACTCCTTGGGCTGGCTGCTCCAGCATCATTTCCTCTCTGGGTGGGAAAGTTCTCTTCGTCTTCATCGATCTTCACAATGATGTAAGCCTTTTTGTTCTCTCATCTGCAAACCTCACAATTAAAGCCTGGCTTGTAGATGGCAAAAACAGAGACAGAAAATTCAGCACCCTGATTAGATCTGCAGCTCGGATACCCTGAATAGTTAAAAAACACAGGGTGGTGGTAGCCCTCCAGAGCTCACATCCTCTGTCACCACTGGCTGCAACACCAGCAATAAGCAGCCATCAAAGTGTCAGCAGGGTGGGCAGGTGGGCACAGAAGCTTAACAATGGCTGTGCAAATAGAGGGCTGCTCTCCAGAGACATACCGACCAAACTCGTCACATATATGGAATGTGTGTTACCATATTTTTTACGATTACCCTATTTTTACAAAAATTATGTGCTTTCTCCCCATTCTCTTCTTTTCATAAAAGTTATGTGCTCATTTTTTTTACAGCAACAAAAAAACTGGGGGTGTAATAGTAGGGGGTGGCTACAGTTGTCCTAGTTGAAAAAACAAAACAAAAACCAAACCAAATAACTCACAACATAACACTTGACTTAGTTGCTACAGTACTCAATAGTAAGAACTTAGAAAGTTAACAAGAGGAAGAAAAGGGCTAAAGAGGTCCCCAGAAAAGAAAAGTCATCAGAGAGTGGCCCAAGGGGGTATCTCTAGTCCCTGCTGCCACCAATGTAACTGGAAGACCAAGAGCCGCAGAGGCTGGGCACTGGCTGCCCGTATCTATCTCTGCAGCAGACCAGCCCACAAGCTGTTTCCCCAAGAACCCAATGGAGCACATTATTTGGAAGGCTGCAGGGTTCATCACCAGCAGGAACGTGCAACAATCCAAACACAAAATTGTTGACGCAGAGCTAGGGCGACCATCTGCCAGGGATGCTGTGGAGGGCAGACATCTGCAGGGGGCACAGTGTGACCTGCCAAGGCCCTTCCAGAGTTGAGCCTTTACTCTTTGTTAAACAGCTAGTTATACACATGGCTAATCAAAAAGGGTCCGAAGAAAATCTTCAGAGATTATTAGGAAGCTCAGTATCTCTGAAATCACCTCGTGCTGGTTTTTCTCGTTTTCTTTTTCCTCCTACGTGACATCTTCTGTCATATTAGTCAATTTCATCTCTTCATGACATCTTCTGTCATATTAGTCAATTTCATCTCTTCCAATCACACCTTTCAACCTTTCCTCTGAGATTCTCACCTTAGATTAGCTGAACAGCAGGCACTTCTTAGATGGTCCCCAAAGAGATCATGGAAGTAGAAGATCTAGACCATTCCAAGTCCTCTCTACCCACTTTTTGCGCCTCTAGCATGAATTCTTGCTTTTATGACTCATGAACCTGAGGGTGCTCTGGTGGCCTCGAGGGTAGAGCTGCACTGCTTGCACAAAGGTGTTTCCTCTACCACGGTTCAAATCCGCCAGCTGCTCCACAGGAGAAAGATGGGCAATTTCCTCCCATGCAATTTACAGCCTCTGAGAACCCGAAGGAGGGTCAGCTATGAGCTGGCCTGACTCCATCCACAGCAATGAGTAACAAGTACCTAAAGCCACGAATAGGTTCACTTTCCAAAAGGAACCCAACGCGGAAGATTTCAGTCAAGGATGACAGCTAAAGCTGCCTACGCCTGTGGTGAAGGGGTAGTCCCTAACTAGGTGATGGAGATGGACTCCAGTTCTTACATACTGAGCCAATCAGACAGCTGCCTACAACTTCTTCCTGACATCTCTCTATGCAGGAAACCCAAGTCAGGGGAGAATCTTGTCCATTAGTCAGGCATCCCTTTCGCCCATCCTCTAACAACAGGGGCTCCTCAACTGAGACAGCCCGATGGAATATCAGCTGGAGATACCTGTGTTCACTTCCTGAATACTTCCTCAGGTCTCTGCATTTGAGTTCCTATTTTGGGAGCGGGGGTGGGGGTGGGGTGGGGAAATCACTAAATACTATATACACTGTTCCTCAGTTATTTGCTAATTTCTCAGTTTTCTAGGGAAAAAAAGAAAAAAAAAGGCAGAAAAGGTTATCTTTCGTGTTCTCAACTCCTTGCCATGGAACTGAACAAAATAAATGTGTGCTCCAAGCAATCTCAAGTCAGAGTGAGATGTAGGTCTCCAGTCTTTAGCAGCTTTTTGCTCTCTTCCTTCCCTATTGTTCCTGTTTTGTCTGCTGTGAGGGGAGTATGTTTAAACATGAACTTGAGTTTTGACCAGCACATTTGATCTTTATTTTTAAAAAAACCACAACAGTAAAATAATCTTTCAGACACCAAGAAATCTGTGTGATGGATGAAAGAAACGAATTGTCAAGTATGCAAATAAGATCTTCACCTAAACTCAAGATGAAACCTTCCCCTAAACTCATAATCAATCCTTTGTATTGCAAGCAACCTTGCTCCTCCAGGACACCCCTCTGTCACTCACCTGAAAAGAAAGGGTAGCCCCACCACACTGCAGTTTGTTCAAAGGGCTTTTTTTTTACTTTCATTTTGTCACACCCTCACTAGGATATCAGGAACAAGTTTCATTCTTTCCATTTCACAGAATGAGAAAGGGAGACTACACGAGGTGACATCTCCATGAATAAAATTCAACTCAATTTTCTTCTACAACAACAACAAAAAGAAAAGAACTAAAAGGTTGGTGGAGAGAAGGTTCAGGGAAGGTCCAGTGTCAAAATGTACCCTGCTAGGATTCAACCTTGTAAATTTCTTCTGGTAGCTTTGCTCCAAGAGTGAACCCAGTGAAAAAAATAACTTTTTAAGGGAGTGGGAGTATACGTGTGTATGTGGGGGAGTGGGTGTTCAGTTTCAAATCATCTTCTTTGTTCACTACAAAGTCTTAAGTGTTGGAACCTTTTAAAAAACCAGCACTTGTATTTGTACCTGGAGAAGCTAGTTCTGTATCTAAAGGGGGCAGGTGGGGGGATGTAATCAAGGAATGGACAAGCCGGATATAATCAGCTTTGAGGTGGAGAAAGAAGCTTTGAAGTTAACGTATTTATTTACATAAGGGACGTGAGTAAGGCGAGATGGGGTGCCCCAAGGGCGGTAAGTTTTCTTGCAGGGTCTGGAGACAAATGAGCATGGTCACACCCCCAATCTAGCTACCAGTGAAAGCATCAGGGAAACCCACTCTCCTCATTTACCGCCCTCTCTGCCATCCCACCCCGAGGGTCCCATACACACTAGGTCAGAGAATCCCCCACTCTGGCCAGGCAGCGTGGAAGGGCCTAGGCGGGGGATGCAGACCCTCGGCGCGCGCCCGCACCTTGGCCCGCCCCACTCTGGCTCTGTCTCACCGCGCTCCTACCTCGGGGGGCTTGGCCGGAGGGTCCCCGCCGTGTCGCGGAGGGTGTCTGGCTGAGACGGGGGCGCGCGGGCCCACGGCTTTCCCCGCGTGGCGGCAGCTGCAGCTCGCGCTCGGGGACGGTCTCTGGCGGCTGCACCAGCCCCGCGCCTGCGAGGGGCGCCCCGCTATGCGTGCTATGCGGGCCCCGCGCCCCTAGGGCCGGCAGGAGGAGCGGCAGCAGCAGCAGGAGCGGCAGCGGCGGCCCCCGCGAGGCGCGCCGAGAGGCCATGGTCGGGGCGCCCCCCGCGCTCACATGCCAGGCGCGCGGGGTGGGCGCGGGGCGGCCGCGAGGCAGGGAAGCGGGCGCGAGTGGCGCGCGGGGCCAGCGAAGTGAGCAGAATGAGACAGCGCGCACAGTGTCCGCCTCAAAAGTTGTGGGGACCCGCGGGAGGGCGGCCAGCGGCCGGGCGGGCGCGAGGGAGGCGGCCCGCGGCGCCGCCACATGCTAATTAGCCGGGCGGGTCGCGGGCGGGTGGCTCCTCCTCGGTTGACATCACCCGCCCGGCCGGGGGGCGGGGAGAGGGCAGGAAAGGGGCGGGGGCCAACGTCCCGAGATCAGCCTGGCCCTGGAGAGGGGCTCGAGGTCACCACGGCCTCTGTGCCGCTCTTGAAAAAACCCTACTCTTCCCTTCCTCACCCCCTATAGCAGTGCTTTGCTTTTGGGAGGAAAAGAATCAGAAAAGCTGAGTCTCTCGTATCAGGAACCAGGATTTCCCAACACACATTAAGTTTGAGCAAAGCTTGTCCTGGATGATGTGATGAGCACAGAGCGAGAGGTGGAATTCATTCCTTGTCCTCACTTCAGTGGCCACTGTCCCTCACTGACTGAATGGCCCGATGCCTTCCCCCCACCACTCCTTCTCCAGGCCCCCAGGCTGAAGTGTGAGGTGCTTGCTTTTGCCAAATCTGACACCTCGCTCATCCTCTGGCCAATAAAGAATCGTATTCCCCGGACGCATTTTGAGACTGGATTCCGTTCCCTCCAACCGCTGCCTTTGGCTCCAGCGTTCTGCAGAGATGTCTCTGCCTGGACACCCAAACGTGCCCCAGGGAAAAGGAAACTGTGAATTCAGGCTTGACTTGGACAAGCTCATAATCAGGAAAAGAGCTGCAGAATGAAAATGCATCAAAAGAACCCAGAGCGCTCAATATTCTACAGAAAGCTCCAGAAGAGAGGTGTCAAGATCCAATAAAAACAAAGTTTGACTGGCAAATAATATTCCATCTGTGTCCATATTTCCCACCCATCCCAATGTTTAAAAGTCTTCATTTTAGGACTGCAAATCTCTTCAACTATAGGCGAAATCTAAAAATGGCAACCAAACTTACTGTTGTTGAGCACTTCCTGACCCCTGGCAACTCGCCATTTTATTTCTGGAAACACTCATCTTTGTCCTGGGTGGATTCGAACCAACTGCTCATCTGTAGGTTAGCAGTTCAACACCTATCATGATAAACACATTGCCAGGCCAGTAGGAACCCACTGGGAGCTGACCCTCCACTGGGTTTCCAAGGCTGTAGATCACATGGAAGGAGACTGACCATCTTTTTCCCAAGCAGTGGCTGCAGGATGCTGCCTTTAAGGTAACAGTGTGACTCCCTATGGATTACACCAGGAGAGCTCCCTGTAAATTAACAAACTCAAAAACTCATTAGTGTGGAGTTGGAAATGACTCATAGCTGACCCTCCTGGAGGTTTCTGCTGTAAACGGCAGAGGAGGAGATGGCCCACCTTTCTCTCACATTGTGGCTGATGGATTAGAGCTGCCAGAGAGGGGCCACCTTTAGCAATGCAACTCACTACTGATTGTGACCAGAGCTCCCCTGTAAAGTAATAAAAGGGGCTCTGAATGGGGAAAAATTACTTACTCAAGGCCCTGAAGCTAAAGAGTAAGTGATATGTCTGTGAATGGCCATTACTTCTGCTACGCTAACTCAGAATGTTTGGTAATTTAGACAATGTCTCCGCTGAAACGAATGTGAGAGTGTCTGGGAAATTGGTGGGGTTCTGTTGAGGACCTCTGTCAGACCACCAAGTCCTCAGGATGATGAATCTGGCTTTCCCTGTTAGGGAGCCTCTCTATCCCACTTCTCTGTTCATCCCTGTTGCTCTGCCTCCAGACTGTCTTGGTCCACCTCCAGAGTGTCCAGGGCAGCCCCAGACAAGCCAGATCCCACTTTCCCATGACTTGTTAATCACTCTGTGAGTCATTAGGTAGTAAACATAAAGGATGCTTATCAGATGTCATTGTTGTTCTTGTTGTTGTTGTTGTTATGTGCCATCGAATCATTTGAGACTCATAGCAACCCTATGTACAAGAGTTCTAAACCTTGCTCTATCCTGTATCAACCTCACTGTCTTCGACACACCTACCCTCACCACCCCATCACTGAATTGATCCATCTCATCAAGGGTCTTCCTCCCCTGCACTGTGCCTCCACTCTCCCAAACATGATGTCCCTCTCCAAGGACTGGTTCCTCCTTGCAACATGCACAAAGCATGTCAGATGAAGCTTCAGAATCCTTGACTCCAAGGAATGTTCCGGCTTCACCTTCTCTAGGACGGACAAACCTGTTTGTTCTAGCAGTCCGTGGTATATTCAACACTCTTCTCCAGCACCAAAGCTCAAAGGCATCAATTCTCTTTCTATCATCCTTAGTCATTGTCCAGCTCTCTGATGCATAGCACGCAATTGCAAAGACTATAGCCCAGATCAGGCGCACCTTAGTCTCCAGCCTGACATTGTTGCTCTTCAGTACTCTGGAGAGGTCCCTGACAGCTGACTTTCCCAAGACAATTAGTCTCTTGATTTCCTGGCTGCTGGTACTAAAACTGTTAAACTATCAAAAAGAAAAAAACCCAAAAAACTAAAACCCACCAACATAAAGGATGTTGTGTGTAAACAAGCTTGTCTTAAATGGAGGAGCGAGGAATAAAGAGTTGGTTTTCTTTTGTATAAAGACCTTAAAAGTAAATTCAGCTTCAGGATTGTCATGGAATTCCAGATCTCTCCAAGAAAGCAAGGGGCTCTGGTGCCACAGTCCATAGGAAGGTGTTTAGGCAGTGGTGCTGCTACCTCTCTGGTGATTCGAATTCACCCATCGGCTTGGGTAAAAGATAGGCAATCTCTTCTCATATGATGTGCAGGCTGTGAAAGCCTGCTGGAGGCTCAGCTAGGAGTCAGTCCCGCAATGAATTCCCAGACGGTACCAAACACTGTTCAGTTCAGCCACATGTGTACTAAGACTGGAAAGATAGCAAGAAGATAGCAAGGCCCCAGCATAAAGATGACATAAAAATGTGTGAAGCATTTCTACACTCCTAAAAAAAAAGAAAGAAAGCACCAAACAATAGCTTCCCATAAACAATTCCATTTGCTTGCGTGGCTCCAACTCAACTTCATGGGGCCCTATTCTCACAGTGATCAGCAGGTCTGAACAGCTGCCCAGACCCAGCCAGATAAGCCCCGATGGGCCAGGATGCTGTTCTTTAATGACCTTTATAAGTGTGTCTCGTAAGTGTAGGCTTACTTGTGCTTTCCTGGATGTTGTGCTTTAATGACCTTTACAAGTGTGTCTTGTAAGTATAGACTTACTTGTGCTTTCCTATTAAACTGTGGTGAATAATTTCACATGCAACTGTCAGGAACCGTATATTTGAAAAGAGGCTTTGATTCTGCAGGAAGGAGCTGTGAGGTTGGAAGAGAAACAGATGCTGAGAAAATACAAACCACCTGTGAAATTGTTCACTCCGGATTAGCATGTAAGCACTCCCAAACCTGCACTTACCTTGTGTATAAGATACTCAGAGATCCTGCGAGAGAATCTTGTGACTTATTGATGGTCTGTTCCACAGGCAGCACCTGGCCTGATTCTGACTGCTGATACTGAGCGTCTCCAATGATTTCTTCCACAAATGTAGTGATTCCTATATAGCTGTCCATCCAGTGAGGTCCATGTATAAAGTCATCATTTGTGTTTTTTGAGAAAGGTATTTGTGATGAATAAAACCATTGAAGATAGAAAATACTATCATTCTATTTCTGGCTTCATTGCTGTCACCAAATCCCTACTTTCCAGCTACCCTTCCTTCTTCGTTGTTTCCAACTTTTGTATTCCGATCATTGATTATCCTGGAGGCAAAGCTGAGGAAACTACGTCTCACATACTTGGAGCACGTTGCTATTATTGTGTAATCAACTCATACTACTTGACCCTCCAGTGGTCTTTCAGAGGCAATTAATTGCATAGAAGGAGATTGTCTAGCCTCCCACAGACAGCTGGTGGATTTGAACCATATGCCTCCAGGATTGCAGCACAGCTTCTTACCACTAGGCCACCGGAGCTTCTCGGAGAGATTATTTGTTGGAGAAGGACAACATGCTGGGAAAAGTGAAAGGTCAGTGAAAGAGAGGAAGACCCTCAACAAAGTGGATTGACTCATGACTGCAGCAGTGGGCTCAAGTGTGTCAATGATGATGAGGATGGCCCAGGATAGGACAGGGTTAAGGTATGTTGTTTGTTCATAGGGTCGCTATGAATCATACTCAACTTGACAGTATCTAACACCACCAGCACTACTACTAGAGAATCTGCTTTTACTACTAAAACTCAAAGAGCACACATGCATCTGCTCCCTGCTCCTCTATTAAGACCAAAGGTTCATCACCGTGTAATTATCTAAATGAAATTACTTCATTTGATGTGACTGGCAGCTATTAGTAAACCCCATTACCAATGGGTCAGTTCCAACTCACAGCAATCCTCCAGATCTGCTAATGCATTCAAACTTTAGATCTTGCAGCCGGCAGCCCAGCCTGCTAAGCACAACGTCATCAGGGCTTCTTTGGCTGTTAGCTCAGAACTCAAACGCATTGCCATCAAGTTGGAACGGACTCATAGCTGACCCTCCACTGGGCTTCTGAGGCTGTAAATTGCTCAGGAGGAGATTATCCATATATATACATAAGATCCACTTGTGGAATCGCTGCTTTGGGATTAACAGTGAAATTCCCTACAGATAGCAGCATCAGAGCCCTCTACCTGTCGGTTATGGAAGGTTTAACCTGTGGATGAATAGGAAAAGAACCTGGAAAGAATGGTCACAGGAACAGTGAATCCCAGCACTTCTCCCTCTAAATTAGAACAGGAGGCAAAGGGCTACATCTCACAGGGGGGAGCTGAGGTAATACAGAATCTTGAAAAATGTAGTAGACTTAAGTCTTTGC